AGTTATAAGCAAAATACTGGGAGGTCCATTTATATGGAACACCCGTTATATTGTTTTCTTATTTTAGGTATTTTTCGCGAAGTTTACATCACGAACAGTACAAATTATACTCTGACATACTGTTTAAGTCCAAATAATCCTTTATTATTGAATAATCATGTATTTATGATTACACGATCAATGATCCGCTTTTTCATCTATTATGTATTGCCATTAATCTTTGTTGCTACTTTTTACATTTTGATTGCAAAACATTTATTTAAAACAAAGACAATTGTACTTCATCAACCCTCTACGTCAAATATTAAAGGAGATAGAGTGAATAATTGTAAAACAAATGGTAAAATGGTTATGTATTCTAGAATATTGCGAAATAGTAATAGTAATAAGAATAATTCAAATGATTTTACATCAATTCAGACATTAGGTTATACAACAGCAAGATCGTCAACATTGGACATGGATGAAAGCATAATTCGTTCTTCAACAACATCAAGATGTCAATTATTAAGTACCACACATCGTTATCCAGTTACATGCAATAGTAGTAATGAAAATAGTCCTAGAATACAATCATTACATAATGATGGTAGAACACGAAAACAAATGCGAGCTCGACATAAAGTTGCTAAAACTGTTTTATTTTTATCAATTATTTTCTTCATTTGTTGGTTACCAAAACAAATACATGATCTCTATTGGTATATTGGTGTTATTATTTATCATTCAAAATGGAATTATTTTTGGCATATTAATAAAACAACGGCATTACTTTTATCTTACATTTATTCATGTATTAATCCGTTTGCTCTCTACTTTCTTAGTTCAACATTTCGACATTTCTATAATCGATATCTATTTTTTTGGACAAATATATCTTGTATGCATAATTGCTGTTATAAGAATGAAGACAAAATTGATACCATCATAATTGGAAACAGTATAATTGATGATCGTCCACGATCAAATACAGCAAGTATTCTTGATTTAAAAATGAACAAAAAATTAAATAATAAAAATGGAAAAAATCAACATTCTAAAATGAAACAAAAATATTATATGAGATCAGATACAATATTAACAGCTAGTCTTAGTTTATTAACACAGCCACAAAATTCAATCATTTCAAATATAAGATGATTCATAGATATATAGATTTAAAAACAATTGCATGTGTTAATTGTTGTGAATTTATTGAAGAAAAAACAAAAGAGAATTTTTTTTTCCTTTATTTGAGATTAAGAAAGAAGATTTCTTTTAACCGAAGATTTCATAAACTATTTGTGGTAAATTGCCGGTGACATTAGTCTTTTTTCTCTGCTCAATTTTTTTTTTAAATTTGTACTATTTTCATTGTTGGTGGTAAATATAATTATTTGTTTAACCATATAATAGAAGTTCCCAACAATATTTATAAAATTAAAATGTAGACGAAAATTTATCACATCATAGAAATCTTAATTTATTCATTGAGTTGTTTCATCGTTTAATAGAGAAAATCAGTTCACCGACATAGTTTCACAAATATTCTTGATTTATTAAGATTTATGATGATTTCCATATGTTGTGTTCTGTTCATTAAAAAAAGAGTTATTTTATTATTTTGTAGCATGAAAATTAGACATCTACTTGTACACGACGACAAAAAAACAACAACAAATATTGAATCTAAAGCAGATAATTGTGAAATGTCAATTTTTTTTTGTCCGCAAAATGAAATAAAACAGATCTTACAAAAAAATAATACGACTTCTTAAAATGTTTTCTTTCTACAGATCCCGATCCTACGGAACTAATACAAATTTTAAATGTTATACAAAGTAGCAGTTCTCCACATTTTGATAGATTAAAATGTTTTTTTATCAATGGAGACATATTCATGTTCAGAATAACTTGGTTTCATCTAGAATAGGCTTGACCTTCAGAGATTAACGTATGTTTAGATTGAATAAACCACAAGTTAATATCATTTTCTTTAATAAATATTTTCTGAATAAAATTTTCAAGAGAGATAGATAAAGATCTGCGTTTCTCACCATTTAACTGCCAAGATCTGGAACTATAAACTAATAAAAAACATCTATCCAAACCATCATCTATTGATGACATATCTGTACTCAGAAGACAAAATTCTTAATGTATATCTTACTAACTCACACGGCTTGTCAAGTATTCGTTACATATTTGCGCAAACTCAAGTTCTACAACTATCATTGTTCGTGGTAGAATTCAGTTTCCAGCACTGTGAGAATGGATCATTAATGGATCAGCGAAATCTCAAAAAAGAATGGATCTATTCCCGTTTCGTTGAATGCTTAATTAATTATCCCGTTTCGTCGAAACATTTTGTAGTGCTTTTTTTCTTGTAATCCCGTTCCGTTGAAAATAAAAATTCTACTGTTCCCGTTTCGTCGAAAAAGGAAGATGAAAGAAAATTAGCAGAAGCTCAATAATTCTAATTGCCTTTTGATTCTAATTGTTTGATCATCTTAATATTAACCTTTCTAAAAGAAATTAATTAAAAGGATGCTGATGAGATCAATCTATTGTCTTATCGAAGTATATATAAGTGCAGTGAAAACGGTAAAATTCAGTGTTCATGCAATACTAAATCACTTCTTAATTCAAATTTATAACATGTTTTCAATTGTTGAAAGTAAACGCAAAAAACCAATTTTATTATTCGATACATTCCGTTACACGCAAGATAAAATTGTTGGTACAACTATTTACTGGAAATGCGAAGGTCGTTCATGTCCCGGACGCGCTGTACAATATGGATCAGCTGCACCAAATTTGAAAAAATCACATAATCACAATGGAGATGAAAATAAATGTAAAGCCGAAGAATTCAAAATGGCCGTAAAACGACGTATTGAACATTCACCACAACCAGTTAAAAGAATTTACAAACAAGAATTGACATCATTATATACAACGTCACCGCAAATTGCACCATCAATACCAATGTTTCATGAAATTAAAAATTCATTATATAAAACTCGAAATGATAGTTATCCACCTCAGGTGAGGGTGAGGGTGAGACGAGGGGGAGGGGGAGCAGTGCTCCACATACAATTGATGACGTTAAAATCGAAGGAATATAGAGAAAAACATTACATAGTGATCCATTTGTTCTCGACGATTCAATATTTCCTGTATTTGGCACTACAGATTCTGTTAAACAATTATCAACATCCTTTAATGATCATTGGTTTATGGATGGAACATTTAAGAGTTGTCTACATCCGTTTTATCAATTATATACAATCCATTCAGTTAATAATGATTTATCAACACCAAAATTATACACATTATTACCAGATAAAAATGGTTCAACATATACATCTTTATTGCATACGGTATTGAATTTATTTCATTCGAACAATATTTTCATTAATCCAAAGTACATAACCATCGATTTCGAATTCGCTGCGATCAATGCTATTAAATTAGTTTTTCCAAATGCAATCAAAGGATGCAATTTTCATTTTAACAAATGTATTTATAAAAAACTGCAAGAACTTGGATTTCAATCGTCATCCATCAATTCAACATCAAATGATCCAAATGGAATGAACATAAGAGAACTTTATAAGAAAACGTGCGCACTTGCATTCATGCCACAAGAAGAAGTTGGAAATTTATGGGTCAATGTCATGGATGAATTTCAAAATATTGAACGTATAAATCAATTTTATGATTATGTCACAAGTACATAGATAGACGACGATGCATTATTTCATATATCGTTATGGAATTATTTCAATTTTAAAAGTTGAACAACTATTTGGAGGGTTGGCATTATCGTTTAAAGAATGATTTGAATCATATTAATCACCCACATTTTTATATATTTATTCGTGCAATCCAAAATGCTCATAATGCCGCAACATTATCAAGACACCTAGCCACTGGTACATTACCACCACGAAAAAAACTATACGTCAATTGAAATGCAAGATTGCTCAATTTGGAAGATCGTTATCAAGCACACACATTGACATTGGAAGAATACTTCGACAAAGTGTCAAGATTAGTAGGCGTTATGAAATTTTGATTGTTTTTTTACTATAAACTCGCTTAGAGTGCTTTTATATAAATTAAACCAATTTATATTCAACTAATTTTTATTTTCGACGAAACAGGAACACTGGGAAGAAACTGTTTCGACGAAACGGGATAATTAATTAAGCTTTCGACGAAACGGGAATACTCGAAAGAATGGACGTATAAGCTATCAACCATTCTCAATTACATGACAATGTTTTTATTTTCAAACAAGCATGATAGTAATTGCGTGGTATATATTTCTTTAAACTTCATTTCTATCTTCATTTTATTCAAAAGTTTGAATTTTAGTTCAAACGACTGCCACCGCTCCATCGTACCTCCACACGCAATTCATAGGCATCCTTCACCTTTCTGTACTAGTCACACATTGGCACTGTCATCATCACTTTTTAACGTAACTATAATATCCTCATCTTGTCTGTTACATATGCTCCATTGTCATTTTTTGCTAATTTTCCAACTGGAGAAACTCGATCCTTTTTTGTTTTTTGAACTTTTATTTATTTTGCCAACAAAAAACAAACAAAGCATTGTTGAACAGGAAAGCCGGAAAAGTGCAACATTATAATCTAAAACCCTGCCAAAAGGAAAAACAAAACGGACAAGAATAAAAAAATGAGAATAAAAGAGCGACACAATCATCATAAAAAGAGACATCTTCTAAGTACGGTTCTACACTTATCGCAAAAAACGAATGGTGAAAAGATTTTTGAACAATGGAATATGATAAAACCAACAAAATTACATGTATAAATATGTTCTAAGAGCTCTTTTGAAATGTCTCACAGTATGAGAAGGTACCACATTCACTGGTGAAGTATTTCACTCAGTCGCAGTTCTGTGAAAGAAAGAGGATGCAACGCGAGCTTTCGTTACAGTGGCTGTCTTAATTTGTCGAGTGTTTTGTCTGTGAGAGTGAAGACGATCAGATCGACGCTCCTCTAAAGGTAGAATAAATGGAGGCTGAAGATTGGAAAGTGACGATAAATTATTTTTAATTTTAAAGAAACGTAGCAGCCGAAAATATTTTCTTCTTCAAGATAAATCCGGAAGGTTTAACCTATCAATTAACTCACTAACTGAGCCGTTAAATTTTTTACAAATAAGTCTTGCTGCTAACTTGCTCATCTTATCAAGAACAGAACTATACCATGACTCATAAACTACATTACAGTAATCTAATTTACTCAAGATGCAAGACTTATGACGAATAGACCGCGCTACATTTTTAAATGTACGATACATAACACCAAGTCAACGCCCTCAGGCAAGAATTATGTCATTGATGTGTGCTTCTCAAGTTAAGTCATGCGAAAGTCTAACACCGAGAAGAACGACGGACTCTTCTCTCGTTCCATTACTGTAAAATTGATGGTGAACGAAAGATGATTGACAACAGAAGGAGAACGATTAGTAAAATAGATCCAGCTACATTTAGAATAATTCTACGTCACAAGATTTAGGGGTATGTTTAAATTTCCGAAAAAACCCAATTCCCGAAATTACCATAATTTACTATTCACAATACAGATTCATCCATAAACCAAATACAGAAAATTACAAGAAATTACCTGGATTCACTAATACCTCTAAACCAAATTTTCCAGAAATTTCGGTAATTACCCACTAACGAAAAAGAAAATCTCCCGGTAATTTCCTAAATTGCAAACATTTTCAAAACTAATTAATAAGCACTTACTACTAGCACTTACTAATTTTAAGAAATTTCAGCAATTTCCACATAGTTTTGGCAATTACAGAGAAATTACTGAAATATCTTTTATTTATAAGACACAGATATCCATTAGAATTAGGACTCCCATCTCCGACAATAGGAGAATTTATAGAAATTTCGGTAATTTCGAGGAAATTTTGGTAATTACTGGGAAATTACTGAAAAATCTTTTATTTATTAGACAGATATCGATTAGAATTGAGACCCCTATCTCCCACAAGAGGAGAATTTATAGAAATTTCGGTAATGTCGAGGAAATTTTGATAATTACTGAGAAATTACTAAAATAGCTTTTATTTGTTAGACAGAGATGTGCATTAGAATTAGGACTCCTGTCTCCGAAATTTCTAAAAGTTCTGTTGTTTTCCAAGATAGGGGTATCTATCCTAATGGATATGTCTATCTGATAAATAATGGAAATTTCAGTAATTTTCCTGTAATTACCAAACTTTCCTCGAAATTGCCGAAATTTCCATAAATTCTCTTATTGTGGGAGATAGGGATCCCAATTCTACTGGATAGCGCTGTCTAATAAATGACAGAAATTTCAGAAGTTTCCCAGTAATTACCAAAATTTCTTTTATTTATTAGACAGAGATATCCATTAAAATTGAGACCCCTATCTCCCATATGAGGAGAATTTATAGAAATTTCGGTAATTTCGAGAAAATTTTGGTAATTACTGAGAAATTACTGAAATAAATATAATTACCAAAACTACGTGGAAATTGCTGAAATTTCTTAAAATTAATAAGTTCTAGTAGTAAGTGCTTATTAATTAGTTTTGAAAATGTCTGGAATTTCGGAAATTACTGAGAGATTTTTTTTTTCGTTAATGGGTAATTACCGAAATTTCTGGAAAATTTGGTTTAGAGGTATTAGTGAATCTAGGTAATTTTTTGTAATTTTCTGTATTTGGTTTATGGATGAATCTGTATTGTATGTTGGAATATATGGTAATTTCAGTATTTTCTCATTTTATTGTTTTTGCATTGTCGAAACTTCTGAAATTGCTTTATTTATGAGGGAAATTTCCTTTTTTGGAAATTTGAACACTGCTGAAGATTTACACAACACCATTCCTCGATCTTATCAATAAGTAAGATAACTGTCGAGCAACTTATAGGCATCCTCTTTGACTCCCAGTGACGAAAGCTTCGTCGGAAGTATTTGAAAGGGACCCTATCGAAAGCCTTCTCAAAATCAAATAATCGATAATAAAGTCGAATCAGTACCTTTTTCTAAATTGTCGTAAATATGTTGTGTTAAATAAAGCAGGGCATCCGCAGTACTCAAATTAGGACGAAAATTGAACTGTACTGGAGAAAAAAGTTTGTGCCTGTTTAAATTCGAGAAGAACTGATCATAGATGAATCTTTCAAGAAGTTTACTTAAAATAGAGAGAAGAGAAACAGGACGATATTTGTCTCGAATCCACTTGGCCGCAACTTCGGGACGAGCTTGCCTCCAGCATTTTACAACATAGCACCTACATCCACTAGGCCGTATTTGATGTATTTTGGCTTTTTGTGAAGCCTTGTTTCGCGAAGCACGAAGGACAAGTTTTAGCAGAAAGTGCGTTATGAATATTTTGCCTATATTGGAGCTACCTCAGGCAACCAGTCTCTCTATGCATCGAATATACTATTCTGGAAGTCATAAATGCACTTCAAAAAATGCCAAAGCAAAAACTTCATCTACAAACATTCGCAACGGATTTCTAAGAGTGATGCATGACGATAACGCAGAAAGCGCTAAAGATGAATATCTTGAAGTAGAAATGACTCATCATGAGTGTTGTACGGTAAAATTTTGTAATCAGAATTTTCATATCATTTAACATTTTACTGTGTTTTTCAACTTTTCCCAAAAAATAAACACTGTCAGCCTAAACAAATCTAACAGTACTCTCAAACTAAGTAAAATGACGGTTTAGGTTGGCTTCCATCTCGAAACCTTGTTATATTATGAAAAGGCGGTTTAACATCTCTTCTCTCAAATGGTAGAAACTGCACCTCTGCAGCTAAATATATAGTTAGGTGAACACTATTTCGAATTGTTGATTGCATTAATCTGACAGACTTATATAAACTACCGTTCATAGTTTTTCCCTCATCAAAGATAAACATGTAAGAAAATTTATAAGTGTCAGGAGCTAAAAAGTTGGAATATGCTCATTTATTGTGATCGTTCTTGTGTATTACAGAACGATGTTAGTGAAATAAGATTAATGTAATCACACTTTTGGTGATCAGAGCTATCTGTCGATGTGTTTTTTTGGCATGGATTTCTGTATTTTTTTTCTTGAATAATGTTATCTATGATTCTTCTTAGTTTCAATTGCCATTAATCTACTGTCATATAGATATCATATTTATTTTGATGAAATATACCCCCATTGGGAAAATCAGGAGTTTCTGTCGACTCGCCCCTAAATCAAAAGAATGAAAAGAACCATTATTTGGCGCGAATAGTATAAATAAAGAACAGACAGATAAACATTTTGAGAATATGTAGATGTGTACAGCTCATTACCCGAACTTTGCCTATTCGCAACAGTTTTCAGGCGGGGCAATATTTTTATTTCTGCGAAACTTTAAGTCTATAGTCAAAGCTCTTGCATCGTAAGATATGGTTCTATTGGACAATCGTAAACTGAAGGGTTGTGTGGACCCTGGCCAGTAGCAAAAAACTTCGGTTTAAACTTTAAAACTAGAAAATCCAAGTGAAACGATACAAGAATATTTCGATGATGGGGAGTGGGGGAGGAGGGAAATGCAGAAGCTAGACAAGGCTCCAAAAACGATCAAACTACTATCAGAGGAGTTCGGGGCGTGAAGTGAATAATGATGATGATTGTTAATAGGCATAAAAGAGAAAAATCAAATATAAAAGAATGATGTGAAAAAGTTG